TAAACTACATAGAGTTTCTACAAACGTATACATATAAATATATATCTCAAGGCCAATCTCGTATGGGGATATAAAATATAATATTATGTGGATTTTAAACTTTCTCTTAATACATATTTATAGAACTTATTAAAACTGAGAACAAATTCATGTGTTAAGTTTGTTCCTTGCATTCTAATACTTAATCAAACTCTGTCAAAACACTAAAACAAAAATTGCATTTTTTTTTAATTGAAAATGAGGAAATCTTTAGAATATGATGTTATGTTTGTGCGTGTATATATAGGAGGTATATACTAACTATACACTTTGTTGAATAAATAACTAAATAAATCTTATTACATTTTGCATACATAGTATTGTATATCTCGGTGAATGTGTCTCTCAATAAGATTTTCAATGATATATTTAAATACGAAATAAGTAATTCTTCCTAACCATATAGTTACCTTTGATTTCATTGAGATATTGTGTATGTCCTTCTGTACAGTATTTAAAGAGGTATAAGAAAAATATCTAATTACGTTTATACAGAAATAATAGTTCTCACGAATCTCTTTGATGATTTTGAATGGTCAGAAAAATATTTAATATTTTGAAAATTTTGAATGTTGTGAATATCGTATCAAAAATACTTTATCTCTTTGATATGAATTATTAGTACCTTTAATATTATTTAATCATATGATAATTATATATTTCAAGACTAATATGAAATTCAATTGTAAGATTTACTAGGATTATAACAAGCCGTTGGATCTATTAGGAGCAAATTCTATTAATACTAATCTATTGATGATGGTTGATAATATATTTAACTATATATGTTTTGAGAAGTAAAAATAACTATATATATAGATACGTTGAAAAGAAAAAAGAAAAACAAATGTAAGAAAATAGAAAATGAACTAAATTAATGTTTTTCAATTTTTATTTATGATAGAATTACTTGCATTAAACAAAACTATTTAAGCTCAATTCAACAAACTAAACATTTCTTTATCAGAAGAAACTACAATAAAATCTTAAATCTCCAACGAATTACTTAATTTAGGGTACTTAGAAATTGGTTGATTTTCCATGGGGCTTGAAAAAGCTGAACTCATTCAAGAGGTGGTGGAGATGCTTTTTGAGTGCTGCAAAAGTTCTGAATCAGTTTTGGAGTATTTGGGACTAAGGGGAAAATAAATGACCAACAATTTTCGTTGATATTTAAAAATGCATTGCAGCATGAAGAGGAAGGGGTGAGACCACTAATTGGGTAAGTGAAAAGCGATGGCAGACATCGCTGAATGCTATTTAGTGATGCAAAACACTGGTTAATCTGAGCAAATTCTGGAGTTCCTGAAACTCCTGGAATCCTTGGAAATCTAGGCAATCCTGAAATTCCTGGAAGTCTTGGAATTCCTGGAACTCCTGAAAATCTAGGCAATCCTGGAGTTCCTGGAGTTTCCGGAAATTCAGGAATTCGCGGAAGTCCCGGAATTCCATGAAGTCCTGGAGTTCCCGGAAGTCCCGGAATTTCAGGAATTCCCGGAAGTCTTGGAGTTCCCGGAAGTCCCGGAATTCCTGGAATTCCCGGAAGTCCCGGAGTTCCCGGAAGTCCCGGAATTCCTGGAATTCCCGGTAGTCCCGGAGTTCCCGAAAGTCCCGAAATTCCCGGAATTCCCGGTAGTCCCGGAGTTCCCGGTAGTCCCAGAATTTCGAGAATTCCCGGAAGTCCCGGAGTTCCCAGAAGTCCCGGAATTCCCGGAAGTCCCGGAATTCC